TGAATAGTGGCATTGTAAAGCGCTTTGGGTGCCTTGAAAAGCGCTATATAAATCCAATCCATTATTATTATTACTACACCTTAATCTTTTGTCTTCTTCTCTTCACCCAATCTCCCTTCCGCTGGATTCCTCCATTGATAATCACTTTTTCTTTGACTTCGACCATCTTATATTCGTTTCTCTCCTCTTGTTTTGGATCAGTCTTCCCCACTTTTCATCTCTCAATTCACAATCCATGTTTTTCTCTCATCTTGTCTTTTATTCCCCCTTCACTTTTTCCCTTTCGCTCTTCATCTACCCCTCTCTAATCAATTTCGTCTCCCTGTTTTCCTTCATCAAGCTTTTTAATTTATTTCTTTCCCTTCTGTGTTTGCCTTGGTGTCTGCTTGGCACACTGCAACCCCTGTTAAATCAGTCATGTCAGGAAGGTGCATCCCAAAAAGGCAGCTATAGTTTTCTCTCTTTCTGTAGGGCAGCAGAAATCACATCAGGATTTCAGGGGCAGCGCATTTTTGTTTGTTTTTGTATATACATGTCCACAGTGCAGGTCTGTGTAAAAAATCTTAGAGACATTTAAGTCCTCGGAGTATCTGGAAATCGTATTTACTACAGTGCACCACAGGTACACCTCAATATTCTGTGTGTCTGCTTATCAACAACAGGCAGCTGGCCAGAGAAGACCCCAGATGCACCATTTTCAGGAAAGATAAATGTACAAACTAAATGTTTTAGAGCACATAGCAGTACTAGAGAGTCATTACCTTATCACAGCTCTTTATACAAGAACATGCAAAGCAAACTCAGAAATATTTCTATTGAGACAAGGCTTCAGCAAAGCCACCATATAAAGTTCACTGTAATTTTTCATTGTTTGATCATTACACTCTCTGAGGCGGTGCTGACATGTGCAGCAGGGTCACAGAAATGAGTTCACGGCACAGTGTAGTAAAAAGTATTCTTCAAGCTTCTACCTGGTATTGACTACTACTAGTAGTGGTTAACAATTGGCATGTTTTGGTTTGGAGTAAATAGAGAAAATATCAAACCAATCCATACCCACAGGCCAGGTTTGGATCACAGCATAATTATTTTCAAGCCTCCAAAGGCTTCCACAGAGTGATGAGATGCCTGGATTTTCTTTGAAGCAATGCAATTATATCTTAAAGGTGATTTAGTGTTAAGTTCTAGCTCCTAGCCATTGTGGCACTTCATTAACTGAGCACAATCTGTAAAGATTGGACAGGATCAACAATATGGAGCACTAAACAATGATGGTATATGAAAGCGTACATAAAAGAGTAGTCTGGGTTTGTGCTCTTGTCATAAGTCATGTTTTGAAGCTATTTTTTTTTCTTTGTTGCCCACTTGTTGGATGAGAGCCGCGAGTGTAAGCATCTGTTAAATGACTGAGTCTAAAATATAGTGAGTCTGGGGATCAACAGCATATGGTTGTGCCATGTTTTCTGCTTTATGTAATTAAAAGGCATGTATTTTGGGGGAGGGGAGGAAGAATGGCGCACAGCCTAAACAGCCATATGGAGATGCATGGCACTGCTAAAGTTAGTTATTACAGGCTTTTTTATTCACGGCACTGTTCTTTTAATGTCGAGGAATAAAGTGTAGAGACAGACAACCAACAACAAATTAGGGTCTTTGTCATTCTATTCATACATCAAAATCTGTGTGTGAAGAATGGCAACTCATGTGGTGTCTGAAGGAGCTTTCAATCCCACACCTGCTGTTCTAACCTGGGCTCCTGTAACTTAACAAAGGTTACCAGTTATATTAAGCTATAGTTTAATTTAACTGGTATCATTTGTTTATATTTTACAAATAATGTAAAATATAAACAAATGAAGATAATTTGGAGCCTAGGTGAATCAGCCAATACTGGTGTCTTGTTAGCTGCTAAACGTCATCTTCCCAAAGCTACCTTTTCATTTACAATGGCAAATGAAAAGAATACCTATGAAACATTTCGTAAAAACGCTTGACTTTTAATGTAACAGTTCTTGGTTGCTGGTTAAATTTTAAGCTGTTCGTTTGCTTTCAGCCCAAAGAGAGTGCTAATTCTACAGTCTAGAACAGGGGTGCCAAACTCTAGGCCTCGAGGGCCGGTGTCCTGGAGTTCGACACCTGTGGTCTAGAATAACACAAATAAATGTGGGCTAGTGGAACTTTAAATCAACCTTGGTGGAAACTTTAACTATAGATTATGTGCTTTGTTTAATTTTTGCAAAACCTAAAAGCAATAATTTAACAAAGCCGTATTCCAGGGGTGTCCAACTCCAGGCCTCGAGGGCCGGTGTCC